AGTTTGGGTTTTAAAAAGAGATGGAGTTTTAGAGAGAGAGAGATGGAGTTTGGGTTTTAGAAAGAGATGGAGTTTTAGAGAGAGAGAGATGGAGTTTGAGTTTTAGGGAGAGAGATGGAGTTTTGACCGAGAGAGACGATGATGTGAGAGAGAGATATGGAGTTTGAGTTTTAGAGTGAGATAGAGTTTGGGTTTTAGGGAGAGATGGAGTTTTGAGATAGAGACGATGAAGTGAGAGAAATGGAGTTTTAGAGAGATATATATATAAAGTCATTTCATAAGTTGTTGAGGTTAATAATACATAGTTAAAAGGGTTTAGGGGGTTGAAAGATAGAAAAAATAGAATACTTTTGCTTACCAGTAATATTTTCAATTCTTGAAGCTGATGAGATATAAAAGTTAAAAATAAGAGATAATAAGATATATTTTTTAAACATTATTGGAAAAAAAAAAAAAAAACTTAGTTGGAAGAGTTTGTCTTGCTTGGGGGTTTTTACAATTTTCCCCAAATTTTCGTCGTGCGCCTTAATTTGATTATTTAGGGCCTCACCCTTACATAAACAAAGTTGAGGAACAAAATAAAGTAGCACAAGATCCAAACCTCCAAATAAAATATGAAAGCCGCCACAACTGTCACTCTCTCTAACCGTGAGACCTTTTAAAACCCCACTCCCCAATAAACAAGGGGCAATTTCAATTCCACACATCTCAAAAAATCAGCTTGCAAATCAATTGCAAGAACCCCAAATTCATTTATTACAAAGAAATCAAACAATTTTAGAGAGAGAAACCAGAGAGAGAGATATTTTCTTTCTTTTTGAGAAAGAGAGAGGTTCCTTTTCTTACTTTTTGAGAAAGAGAGAGGTGTCTCCTCCACCCATAAGATACCTGATCAACTACCCATTCATGTGAATTCATCTCTCTCTCTCTCTCTCTCTCTCTCTCTGTTTCCAATGCAAATCTCAAAACAACCTGCATCAAATTTGAATTGATTACATATTTTTCTATCAGATTTTAATTGGGTTTGTGTAATTTCTTGTTGCCCATCTAAAATGGCTTCTTCTGGTGTTAGCACTCTGCAAAAACCATTGAAGAAGGCCAAACTAACCTTCAGATTGCCATACTTTACAAACTGGGGTCAGAGCATTTTGGTCTCTGGTTCAGACCCAGCCATTGGAGCTTGGAATGTGAAGCAGGGCCTTGTTTTGAGACCATCTCATGAAGGCAGTGAGCTCATATGGCGTGGAACTATCAGTGTAAACTGTGATTTCAACTGTGCATACAGGTATTATGTCGTTGATGATAGTCGAAATGTTTTAAGATGGGAGGCGGGACAACCACACAATGTAAGCTTACCAGACAATGTGGCAGTGGGAGCCATGGTTGAGGTTTGGGATCTATGGCAGGTAATTTGCATTTGTGACTCTCCTTTTACTGGTTCAATTTGATGTTATGCTCATATTTCAATCTGTATTATGTGTTCTATTGTTTAGACTTTAGAGTGATGTGGTTATGTCTGTGTTTTCTCATTTATTGGCTCGGTATTCAGGTTGTTGCTTTATTATTATTATTATTATTATTATTATTATTATTATTATTATAGTTATTATTATTATTTTTAATTTTTTAATTATAATTTTATGTAATGGCGTTAAACTGAATTTTAGAGTTTTTTGTACAAGATTTTATTGATTATGATTATTTTGACCCTGCTATCTGTAATTGTGCTTTACACTTGATTCTCTTTAATGGTTTTGTCGTCTAGAGTAGACTCTAGAGTGATATGGGTATGTATTTATTTATTTGCTTATTAATTCATTGATTTAGTATTAATTTGTGAAGCTGGTCCTTGTATTTATATATTAAACTCAGTAAAAGCCTGGTTATATTGGATAACTGGAATATAGATTACAATAGCTTATTAAAATGTTCCTCACTTGTAACTGCTTTTTATTCCTGTCTTCCTCTTCCAGAATTGTCCCAGGTTCTTGACTATACCTTTACAACATCTCTAGGCAGTCGATTTGGGAAATTGGTTTATCTGAATCATATTTTCTCGAAACTTACGATTTAGATGGTCTTGTTTTCTTAATTTTTCATTTGGAGTGCCCTGTCTCCTGCTTTTTGCTGAGAATTTGTCGGAAGTTGTGTAAATTCTCATACTTCAGGAAGCAATCAGCACCTTCCAGAAGTGATTCTCTTGGACTTTATTTTAAGAAACTGCGGTGCCCATAAGGCCGCCTTCATAATATCTTAGCTCTATGCTTATTGTGGAATATGTCCCAATGGATTTCTAGTCTGTTTAACAAAATCCTTGTGCTATTATAGTGCATGCTTTTCATTAGACAAAGGTGAGCCTTCTGATGTTTCTTATTCTTCTCTACCAAGAAATTCTTCGAGGTTAACAAGGTTTTTCATCTCGAAGGGCTTGTGGGTCTTTCCTTGTCTGCATCAAAATTTGAGTGGTTACTTTGTTGGAACAGACTATCTGTATACATTTTTCTCGATCTACTTAAGGAGGGAGGATTTCTATCTAGATTCTACAAAAATTTGCTAGTGATATTGTGTGCCCTTCAGTTACTTTGAAGAGAAAAATGACAGGTCTTTGGATGATTCCTTCTACAATAATTTCTTAAAAGTCGTCTAACAGAGCAACAACTCTTGCTTAAAATCATGTATGGTCTTGGCAGTACATGATTTTTGGAATTTTATGCACAACGTCTAGTGTTGCTTCTCCATTCTATGGAACACCCTAGATAATTGTAAACCAGATTACGCTCTGATGTTTCTCTTTGAACCTGGAAATCTAGGAAACTGGTCAGAACTAGGTTGGACATGGCAATTGAGCTAAGTTGCAAATGCTTTCTGTCACAGGTGTTTGAAAGGAAAAGTAAACCATAGATGACCTGTTTATGGTATATGGTACACCACATGGGTGATGATGATACATAGAAAATGAATGAGATGTAACACTTCTTTTTTTTTTTTGCCTTTTTTGATGATGGATGAGAGGTGATACTTGCTCTGGCTACATTTCAAACCAGCATCTAAGTTTTCAGGTTTCTCTCATGTCATTCATGTCTGCAGTACTTTGGTAACTTGGTAAATTTGAATCCCATGGATGCACTAATCACTTGGGGTCACGCATATATGATATTTTTTTTTTTGAGAAATGATTACTTGTTTTAAGAGTTAGGAGTGAGTATACGACCCTTTAACAGGGTCGTATGTCACCATTAAGGTGAGTCAGATACAAAAATTCTATATATTCATGTTCTGAAAAATCGAGCATTAGGCTCCATTCTCAGAAGACACTGCTGCTTCCTCTTTCGCAAGGGCGTTGGCCAGGGGGTTAGCTTCTCACCAAATGTGGGTCCAGGAAACACAAATCTGGCTGATGATGTTGAAGATTTCGTCTAAAATGTGGTCCATCCTCCAGGGGTGAGTGTCGGAGCATGAAGTCCAAGTGACACTAGATTTAGAGTCTCCTTCAATGGCAGGTTGCCCAACTCAGAACTATATGCTCTCAGGCATTCGAGTAAAGCACTAGCCTCAGCTGTAGTACTATCATTAAAACCTATGTGTTTGGAGAGGGAGCAGATGATGTAGCCGAAATGGTCTCTGAAGAGGCCTCCGAGCCCGGCTGGTCCTGGATTTCCTAGGGAACAGCCATCAAAGTTTAATTTGATCCATAATGTTTCTGGGGGCCTCCACTGCGTGGCACAAGCAACCCTCAGAGTGGTGGATTGCCACAGCGGTTGCCAATTTAACCAGAAATCCGATGTGGAAAAAGCTTTGAATCGCTTGTGCTTCTTGGTCCAAAAGATGACCAAAGTTATAATTTTATCCTTGAGCCTCGCTGCTGAATTGCGTTCACCTCTAAATATATGATATTATAAAATTGGGTAATTATATAAAGGCCTCCTTGAAAAGAACAACTTAAAAGTCAATGTACATGCCCATAATTCATCTATGATACAACTCCTATCTACATACATTGACCAATGAATTATTCAATCCCTCAATGGTTCACCAGTGAAGGGATATAAGACTTTTCTGTTGGATTTTTGATTATATGAACGTGATTAAGTTCATTTATATAAATGCTGGTTGGGTGTCTTACACTGATAGCAATATGTTTCCAGTGATTGCTACTGCAAATGTTTGTTAAGGAGGAATTTGTTAGGGATTTGCCCTTCAAGATTTCCTCTGCTAGTCTAATACTTATGGGATGTTTAAGAAACAATTTAATTTTATGAAATAGGAAAGACATATTTTGAATCTCTTTAGTAAGAAAATTGCTGACCATGTTCTCTGAATCCAGACTGCTTCTGAAGCACTTTTTTTCAGGAGTGCATTTAAAGATGTCATTTTTCATGGGGGAAGCTTTTCTGATCCAGGAATTTCTCCAGGAAGCATTCAAAGTTCTTGTAATTATTCACATGAACAAGGTAGTTTCAGTCACTTTATGTTTGTCAGTCCAAGTTGGTTCTTTTTCTCTCTCTAGTTTATCCCTGCTCTCCTGCTACTAGTTATATTCTAGGTACTTATCAAATTTCACCATCTCTAACTCAATCTTAATTGTCATGAAACAGATTTTGTTAATGTCCAATTCAAGATAGTTTGCCCAAGAATTGAAGGTTCCACATCTGTAGGTTTTGAATAATCTGCTCCATTATTTCCTTTTTCATGTAAATGATGATGTGCTTTAAATTCCCAAATGGGAAAGTATAACATAATAATAAAGTAGGACTTGGAAAACCATAGCTCATTGAGGTCATCAAGGTTGGAAATGGATGGGTGTTGGAGAGAGCGAGGGGGACCTATTGTTGGACTTTTGTCTTGTTCATGGTGGGCTGACCATGTCCCTCACCATTCATCATTTCACAATACGGTGATGACCCCAAGGTGCTACAGTTTTACATAGTCCATAGGATTATAGTGTGGTTTTCCCCAACGAATAATGTTGTCTCTGGCTTTGGTGCATATTAGTCATCTATGCTCCACATGCTGCTGCTGGATTTGGTCCCTGGAACCAGCAGCTACTGATCTTCTTTTTGTATTATGATTTGTCATTTTAGGTTTTTGTGACTGGGAGCTCCCTGACTCTAGGGAATTGGGTGGTTAAGGATGCTGTCAAATCTGCATGTACTGGTGATTTTACATGGCAAGCAGATTGTTTGTTTCGGAGAGACGAGTTCCCCATCAAATATCCTTTCAAAATCTCTGATGGCGACGCAAAGCACTTTCCTACCGTAAACAATCTCCCAGTCACAAACAAATTTGAGTTGCATCAGAGGGAGGGAGGGAGGGGAGGAGAGGGGAGAGGGGAGGGAGGGGGAGCAGAGGGGGGAGGGAGTGAGTCTCTTGTTTACCACATGTAGTTCCAGGGAGGGAGAAGTCTCTAGTTTCCAATATGTGGTTGCCTTCAAGGATGGAGAGTATACTCTGTCATTCACGAAAGCAACAGACGTGGAGTAGGAATCTGATTACGCATCCCTCAAAAAGATGTAAAAAGATAAAACAAAGTTAGCTATAAACTGTGAGAGTACCATAAATTACACAAGTTTCAAAAAACTGGTAATTGTGGGGGCTTCTATGTTTGTTTATGTATATGTAGCATATATAACCCTTATCTTTCTTTTTTTTGTTTTTCTGTTTTTCTGTTTTTCTGTTTTTTTGCATATGACATCTTTCTCCTGGTTTGCTCCAAATTTGTCTTTCTTAACGCTAGTGGCACATACAAGTACTGCCAGAAGGATAAAGCAGGCAATCTTTTGCTAGAAGTGGGTCATAATAGGGAGCTTCCAATTGATCCCACCCCAGAAAAAAATCATGTACTGATTGTTGCTTCTGATGGCACCTTCAGGGTAAGAATTTCATTTTAGTCACTGTTTATTATTACACACATAAGAATAAAAACAAACAAGTAAATAATTAAATACACAGTATAGAGTTGTGAAATTTCTAAGGTGCTCACTATATTGTGAAGTTTATCATTGTGTTTATTTGTTTTCAATGCTTAATATCTGGGCCCCCTAGTGCAGGGTATTTGGATGATGGCATTATGTGCCATTTGTCCTAAGGAAATAAGCAATAGACAAAGTAAATATTAACTTGCATGTGGTTTTAAATATCCCCTCGACAACTGGAATCCCCGAGTGTTATGTAGTAAATTTTCATTCTTCTTATGACCAGAGAAGTAGAATTCTCTTGTTCAATATGGCTCTGCAGAATTAGCTCTGTAAAATATGGGTATTAAGTCTCCAAAAGATCTCAACATGAAGGCAAACTTCAATATGGTGTGAGCATGTTAAAAATCCCCACGTACATACATAGCTACTTATATATATGAATATATTAGGCCTATTATGGGCACCATCTGAATTAGAATCCTAAACTCTCAAACTGGGGTGACTTGACAGTCAGATGAAATGGTTATCGACCTTTTTGGTTTTACTTTAACCTTTTTGTAGGAAATGCCATGGAGGGGTGCTGGGGCTGCTGTTCCTATGTTCTCTGTGAGGTCCAAGGATGACCTCGGAGTAGGAGAATTTCTAGATTTGAAGTTACTTGTGGATTGGGCGGTCCAATCAGGCTTTCATTTGGTACAACTTTTACCTGTTAATGATACTTCTGTGCATGGGATGTGGTGGGACTCGTATCCATACAGGTAATATTTGGTTTTAGCAGTACAATTAAAAACACCCGGACATAAAAGATTAAATGCTCATATTTCTTTTTGTAAACCATCTTATGATGTGCTATGTTCCAATAATTTTACTGCTTTTATTCTGGGAGAGATTCTAATTTCCACTTTCTTGAATGGGTAGTTCTCTTTCTGTGTTCGCATTGCATCCCTTGTATCTGAGAGTACAGGCACTTTCAAAAGACATACCACAAGAGATTCAGGTATTTTATTGGCTCTATTGTCCTGTTTTGTACTTTATGTGCACAAGGATGTACAAACCCATTATTTTTTGTTTTTTCTTGATGCACAATGCACTAGCGCATTGCCTATGCATCTGTAATTATTTATTTTTTCATTTTCTATTTATGATGTTAAAATTCCATATTCTTTGAATCCTTAAGTTTGATATTTTTCCATCATTTGCAGCAAGAGATCTTGAAAGCCAAAGAACGCCTAGATTTGAAGGTGAGTGCCTGTTTCTTTCAATGTTATGAAGACTGGACTGGCCGGTCCAACCAGCTGGACTGGTAAGCAGTCCAGTCTGATAATTGAATGGGCAATTGGTTGAAACTGGTTTAAACCTGTCAGTTCAACTAGTTGGACTGGTTAAACCTCCCGGACTGGTCGGTCCAACCAGCTGGACTGGTAAGCAGTCCAGTATGATAATTGAATGGGCAATTGGTTGAAGCTGGTTTAAACCTGCCACTTCAACTAGTTGGACTGGTGAAACCAGCCATTTGAATCAGTTTTTGACTGGTTTTGGCTAGTTCTCTCTATTTTTATATGTGGCCGATCCATCTGGTTTGGACAGTTGAAAGAAATATGCTCTATGTCAACTCTAAACAGCAACTAACTGAAGAAGAAAGAGGAATGCAGAGATGGAATAAAGAGAGACGGGAGATAGATCCGTGAGAGTAAGAGAGAGAAGATGGAGAGTTCCCCTGAGAATGAGTGATAGAGAATGATGTGATCCCTTTTCAAGGATCAGTCATATAACTTATACCATTTTTGATTCCTTTCTTACTCGTGGTGCCATTTCATATTTTCACCATGTCCTTAATTTTGATTATTAGTGATGAGAAAATTTTTTCCTGTTATATCGCCAGCATATTACTGCACTTTCAACATGGACTGGACCATTGCCCTCATTGGTTTGATGACTGGTCTTGTCCTGGTAACAATGGTTCCAAATGTCATTGGTCAGTAAATTAATAAAAAAATGGTTAATAAGTTAGTGACGTGGTAAGAAGATTGAGAACCACAATGACTGTGACCCAATTAACAGGCTTTTATAGGTTCCCACCAAGTATCATTCTCTTCTATCACATGCGATGGGGATGTTTTATAGCACCAGATCTTTTGGTCTTTTTTTTAACCTAAGGAAAATTGTTGTTTTGTGGCCTTTCAATATGGTTGAGGCATTTCTGTGGATTAAGGTATTTAAGGACTCCAATGTGCATCATTAGCAGTAAGGGAATTATGCTTCAATTCATGGAATATGGAAAAAGTCGTTGTTCATTGGGCCTTCAATTACAATTGAAATGATGAACAAAGGAGGGGGAATGAGGCCCGTTAGGGGAAGACATGTCCCCAGTGATGGGCCCCAACCCCCTTCTCTCCGTCACTGTCCGTTATTTCATTATTGTGTGATGAGTGATGATTCAATAGACAATGTTTTTTCGAGTGCCCAAACTTGAATTCTTGCTAATGGAACTGCCATTTTTTTTTTCTTTCAGGATGTTGACTACGAAGCTACTATGGCCAGTAAGCTTTCACTTGCAAGGAAGATTTTCCTTTTAGAGAAGGAAACTTTTCTTGCTTCAAGTTCCTTCCAAAAATTCTTTGCTGAGAATGAGGTTATATTTATGTCTTCTTGTTAGTCCCTGTTATTGTGTTTAAAGAATACTTTCCTGGAAACTTGATCTTATTAACTTATTCAATATCTTTCTATACTTCCAATATGGTGACTTTTCACAGTTCTTGTGTTAAATTAACAGGAGTGGTTGAAACCCTATGCTGCTTTTTGTTTTCTGCGAGACTTCTTTGAGACGTCAGACCACACACAATGGGGTCGTTTTGGTCATTTTTCAAAGGAAAAGGTGATCTTCAAATTTATTTTTGCTAAATCCTCAAGATGATATTGCCATTGGGTTGTTTATCTTGAACCACATTTTGAATATTCTTTGCATATGATTTTTCCAACACAATTGCCGAATTGATCTTGCCATATGGAACCGGTGAAATGATTTTTCTTTCTTGATCTTCAGCTGGAGAAAATCATTTCAAAGGATGCTGTGCACTATGATCTTGTTTGCTTTCAGTATTACATCCAGTTTCATCTACATCTACAAGTAAGTCATAGTGATCCTGACCCAATAGTCTCAAGCATATGAGCACAGCTTCCATCTTGTCTCTCTCTCTCTGTATGTATCTCTCTCTGTATTTATCTTTACATATGTCTATTGTCTTGACATCCACACACATACACATATGTTCATACCTGTATTTGTGGCGACACAAATCCAAACATGCATAAATGTATGACTACATAGACATGTGTGCGCATGTTTAGAGAAAAAGATATGGAGAACCATGTGTAGATTCCGTGATACCTTGCTACATAGTTTTCGTACTTATTCCATGACAGTTGTCAGAAGCAGCAGCCTACGCAAGAAAGAAAAGAGTTGTTTTAAAGGGTGATTTACCCATTGGAGTGGACAGACATAGTGTTGATACGTGGGTATACCCGAATTTGTTCAGAATGAATACCTCAACAGGAGCACCTCCTGATTATTTTGATAAGAATGGGCAGAATTGGGGGTTCCCCACTTATAATTGGGAGGAAATGTCAAAGGACAATTATGCTTGGTGGCGCTCACGTCTAACACAAGTATGCTTCTTATTTCAACTTTTGTCCATTTCATATATCAAATTATCTCACCTGATTTATATTTCATGCACGAAATTATGTTGCTTTCACCATTTATAATTTCTATTGTTTCTTGTGACGTGTGTAGTCTTAGTATGCCAGTCTTGATGTTCTCGCAGATGGCGAAGTATTTTACAGCTTACAGGATTGATCATATCTTGGGATTCTTTAGAATATGGGAGCTTCCTGAGCAGGCTATCACTGGTTTGGTTGGAAAATTCCGCCCGTCTATCCCTCTGAGCCAGGTGAAATCATGTTTTACTTTTTCCCAAGAAGATATGAGAGAGAGAGAGAGAGGTATTTGTGGGTTTGGAGAGGAACCCATGGCCATCTGGGATTGTGGGGAGAGAGGAGCCTAATGTCCATCTGGACATGTATGTGTGTGAGTACGTCTTGGGAGGATGTGCCCACATGGTTCTTCCTGTTATCTGGCTATAAAATGTGCCTGAATGCACTCATGTGTGCACATGTGTGCATCTGCATTTGCATGTTCCACAGCATCCAGCATTTGACAAGAAAGTCTCTAATTTTGAGCTTGTGGTAGGTGATTTGCGTTGGTTATATTAACTTCAAAGCGCTGCTCTTTACAGGAAGAGCTTGAACATGAAGGAATATGGGACTTTGATCGCTTGACTCGCCCTTATATCCGACAAGAAGCCCTTCAGGTCCATATTTCTTCCTATTACTAAGCATAACAACTATTCAGAGGAAATGCTCCATTACTCTGTCATCTGTTTGCTTGTATTGATCAGAATTGATTATTGTTTTGCATTGTTTGTTTATAAACTATTGGATGTGTCAGGATAAGTTTGGAACTTTGTGGACTGTTATTGCATCAACCTTTCTGAGCAAGTACAAAGAAAATTTCTATGAGGTGATTGAACAGATACTATTGTACTATATTTCAATCAAAAGTGTTTCATGCTTGAATTTTGATGGGTCTGTCAAATTAGATAAGTTCTTTGTAACCTTTTTAAGTTGTTTTGGCAATTGACTAGCAGTTGTAAGATCTCGTATGCATCCATCCTTGATGCATGCAGCTTTTGTTGTTCATGGAGTAGTAATTACTGATACTGTGCATGTAGTAAATATGAATGTGATTTGCCTTCTGTTTGATGGAGGCTGTTCTAGAGTGTATCATTGCTGTGATATTGACATGTGAAATGAGGGTACGACAGAGAGTTTCATGTTATATTTTAGGCCAAGTTTTCTTGTAATATACCCTTCTATCTTTTCTAAATTCAGTACATATTCTGAAAAATATTTTTGTTTTTATGTTAAAGGTCTCCATTTTTTTCTATTGTGTTTGGACTCCTAGGGATGATGTAAAGCTTGTTTTTCCAAATAGTCTTGAGTAAAAGGGAATCATACATTCCATTGTACATATTTCGTAGTATTCTCTAACCATGTTTAAACTTAGATATAGAATCATTGTTATTGAAAGGATGGAGGGCCTCGTTTATTCTTAAAACTGATATTTCTGCAATTACTTACTTCAGTTCAAGGAAGACTGTAACACAGAGAAGAAAATGGTTGCCAAATTAAAGTCAAGTGCAGAGAAGTCCATGTGGTCGGATAAAGAAGACATGATAAAGCAGGGCCTCTTTAATCTTCTAAAGGTGGATGATCTCTCTCCTATGCTTATTTTAACTGGTTGGGGTATTTAATCATCTGTTTTTCCTTTGAATGTAAAAGTGAATAGCAAGGGGGCTTGGTCTATAATATCACTGTCTCATATGGATGCGCCTTTGGAATGGATAATATAACACAGTCCAATGGATTATGATAACATTCACCATCCTTTTCTGATGATGGATAGTGGAGATTAACTGTAGTAGGGTCCACTGGAAATTCACCTAGGTACCATTACTCATTATTATCCATCATTAGAAATGGTCTTACCTTAGGTGTACTGTATACCTGAATTATGGTTTAGTTTGCAACCTGTGTTCACTGAGTGCCCCTTTATGCAAATAAATTTAATGCTGTGTGATCCTTGTCTCTATTTTGGGATTAAACTGAGTTGCTAGTTTCTTTGGGGGTACTTTGCAGGATGTTGTTCTTATTAGAGATTCAGAGGATACAAGGAAATTTTATCCTCGGTTTAATCTTGAGGATACATCTAGCTTCAAAGATTTAGATGATCACAGGTACTTGAATTTCTGAATAGTAATCATCTGATTATTTGTCGAATACTTCCATTTATGTCTTTTTTGAATTTACACTACTTGTGTCTCAATTCGAATTAATGAAAGTATACCATGATACAATGGACAAAGAGTGTATGGCGGCTATCTCTGCAGTCTGTTCTCACTGATGGATAATTGTGATTAGCTGTACCAAAGAAAGCTCTCCTACCTCTTATGGCTCCCAGTCAGTGGGAACAGATGGAGGATGTAGAGTACCGTGTAGCCATTGACTATTGCATACTTTCCCATGTATTTGTATGTCTAAATAGCTTCTGAGTGTTTGATTTTTAGGTTTGAGACTTGACACATGGATAATTTTGAATTGTGATATCTAGTGATCTATGATAAGCATACTCGTGCATTATAGCTCATTTAATTGGAGTCCTTCTATACAGTAAAAATGTTCTGAGAGGGAAATACGATGATTATTACTTTCATCGGCAAGAAAATCTTTGGCGGCAAAATGCACTGAAGACATTGCCTGTCCTCTTGAACTCATCAGATATGTTGGCTTGTGGAGAAGATCTTGGTCTCATACCTTCTTGTGTTCATCCTGTAAGATCTCTCCCAAGAATTTCCTTGCACAGTAGTAGTTTTGTGTGTGTGTGTGTGTGTGTGTGAGAGAGAGAGAGAGAGAGAGAGAGAGAGAGAGAGAGAGAGAGAGAGAGAGAGAGAGAGAGAGTAGTAGTAGTAGTACGTAGTACGTACGTACGTAGTACGTACGTACGTACGTACGTACGTACGTACGTACGTAGTACGGTAGTAGTACGTAGTA